CATTTCCAGACTACCTTTTTTTCTCGCTTTCTATGCGCGGAAAAATTCAGTAAAGGCATATTTATATACCGCTATGTGCCTACTCTATGACGACCAAGTTGCAAATCCATAAGTTTATTTCTCTCAAACATCCAGATGGAAAATGTTTCTATTTTATCTTCATATTTTACATGGAGACTTAAGCGAACCCTTGGTAGTTTTGTAGAGCTTGATATTTTCCCTATCGAATGATATTCTAAGTTTATTAGGAAAGCAAAAACTGTTTTTGAATTAATTGAAGGAGGGAGTTTACTTTGCGGCCTAATAGCTACCTTTTTTTCACTTAATATAAAACACTTTTCCCACGCGACAAATCCAGTTCAAATAACCGCCAACTATGGAACTAGGAACCAGCTATCTTGTGTGTCCCCATATTCGCTTTCAGTGGTTGTGCTTCTAGCGATTATACTTACATGGTAATTCCAAAATGGCCAAAATTGAAGTGGCTATCCCAGCAAGCCGTATACCGTTGAACACTCCATGGGAGGCTTGTTACATATCCGCCTTCGGTATCTGCTTCTTACCTGGTCTCCTACTCAAATTCATTTCCCCTGCACAAATTAATGGCCCTCGATTTCGCAGTGGGACCGCCGCGCCTCATTACGTCGTTCATTGAGAGGCTACGTTGGACGCATGGCGTAGTGGTAAGTTTGCGGACTCATAGACGACGCACGTGTTTGCAAGTTCCCTTTTGCTTGCTACTCTTTTGCAACACATCCCCAATATCTATAATATTGTTAGCGTGAAGTCTCGAACTCTTTTTAAAAGGTAATTCAACACTGAAGACTTTAAAACTTATATTTTACCGGTCAATTTGGGCTGTTTCATAGGACATTGTGACTATCAGAACTGAAGATCATGAATAACATTTTGTACGATGGCCCACTGCGAATCTCCCCTACGCTTCCAGTATTTCGTTTTTGCATTCCATAAGCTCACCGCTAATAACCGCGTTAGGGATTTCGCACTAACAATAGGAAATTTGGGATGGGTTGCAATAGAGTAGCAAGCGAAAGGAATCAGACTCGCAAACAAAAACCGGGAGTTCTGTGAGCCCGCACACTTACCACTGCGCTATGTGGCGAACTTGGATTTTATCTGGGCGACGAGTATTTATGATGCGAGGCGGCCTCATGCGGAACCGAATAACTTTGTATAGGAGACCGTTAAGCAGATACCGAAAACGGAAATGGAACCAGCCCTCCATGGAGTGTTCAACGGTATACGGCTTGCTGGGATGAGCCGCTTCTAATTTTGGCTGCTCCCTTATTAGACTGAAGAAAGCGAAGTGAGCTCCTGTATAAATCACGGAGCCTGCAGAAAATGTTTTTCGCCACCTTTTCCCGCACTATACGTAGCACCCCAGATTTAGCATACTGCAGTAACCCAATATTCACCATGAACATAGATTAGAAAAGCGACTATAATCTACAGTGAAGAGAAAAGGTGGCGCTTCTTTGTTCTTACTTTTTCGGAGTGTTAAAACACTAATTCGACTGTTCTTATGACGACTTTTTTCTTTTTCTTTCTTCATAAGACTCTTGTTCGTCCGCACTTGAAGTATTGTCCGCAAGTGTAGAACCCTACTCAGGGCTCGGCATGAGGTGGCTTTTCCAATTTTTCAAAAACGAAGCCCCGCAGTTTTCGCTACAAAAACACGACATCACTATGACGCTATCAAGAATGGATCAAACAGGAATAACAAAGGATAATAAAACAAAACTAACAAACAACATTGAACAGAAGAAAAAGAACCAAAGAACTTCGTATTCTCCAAATTGGCTGCATGCTGTGCCCGGCGTCCACCATTGTGCGCTTGGAGCAGGCTTACCGCCGCCACACAAAATATGTGGAGGGCTGTAATTGGGCGAGGAGGAGGGGGTCTGAGGAGATTAAGAACTCAGTTTTAGGGTGCTTGATGTAGAACAAAGGTATGTTGAACTTGTGAAAAAAATTATGTGAAGGAAGAAAAATATATGACTTTTCCTTTTTACAGCCACCTCAAGTGGCTGTCCAGGTGGCTGGAAAGCCACCTAACTCCGAAAAACGTTTGCCACGCCTTTAGTTCACATAATTTTTTCATAATTTTTTGCACTCAGTCCTAAATCCCTACTGTATATCTACATACCAATTTTGGTGTCATTTCATTTTCTCTTAACTGTAAACAAGGCTTTTGTCTATTTCCGGAAGGGGCTTTTTGAATTCACGTGCTTAACCGACGAACCTGTTGAAACAGGAAATTTTTGTTCTTTGCAGAAATGGGACCGATAAGGCGGGAATGATAATCTGCGTCCTGTATAGAAAATGAAAGGTAACATGAAGGGAGAAGGCGATTGTATGTATAGGGAGGGGGGGGGAGGACTGGATTCTCGCTCAAACGATATCCCCCTTGTCTTTTACCTCAGAACGACATCCAGCTTGCCCCGCAAGCCATCTGTGCCGAGCCCTGAACACAGCCCTACTAGAAGGAAGAACATTTGTAAGCTTGAGAAGGTACAAAAAACATTTATGCGTCTTTTGTACCTACGCATCTCTCCCAATAGTGTCCCTGCTTACAGTATACGGGTAAAGCTAGCTTTGCAAAACCTTTCTTATCGCCGTAATATCTCTGATCTTGTTCTTTGTTCTCAAGTGCTCAGAGGAGGAATCAGGCTAAAAGCTAGCAAGTACTGGATATTTATGCCAGCTGGTCAGAGGTTTTCAGCTCACATTATGCCATGATAAAACACAGAGGGAGAAAATGTACAACAATATATTTTATGGATCTGCACGCTGGTTTCAGCTTCTACCTAAGGACCTAGTTGGTTCACCCAGTACGATCTTTTAGGATTAAGTTAACCAGAATTGACAGTAATCTTTTAACTTTTTGAAATGAAATTTTCACTGATTTAGTGTGTTTTCAGTCGTTCTTGTCTATTTGTAGTGGTCGTGTTTTTGCTGTTGTGGACTATCGTTTAGTGCTTTGGCTTGGTATTGGCGGATGATTAAAGCAGTTTTTCTTATTCGTGATACAATACATTAAGGCGGTGCTCTGCTATTATGTGGCACGATAGAGCTTTCCATGATCTACAACCCCTTACCTCCTCATTACGCTTTCTGAAAAACATGCATTCCAAAAAATTATACACTTTTTTCAAAACATCTCCTCCCAGGCCAAGTCAACAATGCCTCGCACAACAATTCTTCGAATGCGAAAATTTTCGTTTAGTTAGTTTTATGAAGCGGGAGCACAAATAGTCCGAATAGGTAAGCATACTACTATACAGGGTGTCCCAAAAAGATGCGCACACTGTTTGATTGTTAATAACTTTCTTGCTTTCATGTCTTTTGCCGAGCTTGAGGTACCATTCTGTAGAGCGAGGATAAGCTTAGATTTACAGTATAGAGGGACTTACCAGCCGCTTTTCATTACTGTAGAATTACGGTAGGAATTTCGAGGAGGATTTTCAGCAATGGAAAGCTGTATTTTGCCTCAGAAAAAAGCCAAATAAGCCAGAAACTCTTGAACTGGGTTAATCATAGTCGCTGATTCTAAATATGAAAACTGCACGTCAGTACAATGTTTCTTTCATGAGTTAATTCAGATTTAGGGTAACAACTGATTTTCCAGTTCAGCAGAAATGTGAATTCGCCATCAAGAAAGCTCGAAAAACTGATGGAAAGTTATGTAGTGAAATCAGCACGCCTGAAAACCTTGCTACACAATTTTTTAGATTTTTTTGAAATTATTTCATCAAAAGGCATCTCACACTGATGCTGTATGCTGAAAGCTCATACCGTAATCCTACAGTAGCAAAAAGAGATTGGAGTTTCGCTTAATACTGTATCTAAGTTTATCCTCGCTCTACAAAATGATACTTCAAGCTCGGCAAAAAACATGAAAGCAAGAGAGTTATTAACGATCAAACAGTGTGCACATCTTTTTGGGACACTCTGTATAGAATTCGTCAGGAACTCAATTTGGTTATGGTTACTTCCTAGAAAAGACTAGCTTGAATTTTGTCTTGCATTCTTTAGTAACTAACTCCTAATTCCCTTTTTCAGAGCGAATTTCTTTACAAACCGATTCAAAACGTTTTAACAAATACAAATGAGGTAAGTTCAAGAAATCCTGGAAATCTGGAAAATGCTTCGAGAAAGCGCAGCCTCCGTGGTAAACCAGAAATTTTCCAACGAAGGTTAAGCAAAGCTCCTTTCGTTACCAGTTTTATCCTGAAAGTTCAAAATTAACAACTTTTATTAATAATTTGATTTTGATCTTAGGCCGTTTCGGTGTCGATAAGAGCCTCCATTCCATTTACCACCAATCAAAACGACAGTACCCGGTAGTGCGATCTTTCGAACGTGGCAACTGCGACCAGGGGATTACTACTGGCCTTGATGTTGGCGTCCAGACCGTCTCGCATAACCTAGTTGCATTGAGGTTATGCGAAACTGCCTTGAAAGACATATTTGGATTATATTGCTTTGGTCACGGGTTATGTACCTCCTGAAAGGAAGTTGAATACTACGTTTTTAATCGAAAATTCTTCAAACTCCTGACAATAGATTGGAGAATCTGCTGTGTTTGCAGCTGACACTTCTTCGCATCGTTTTTGTTACTTACAACAGTTTGGAGCTTGCAGACTTCCAGATCCAACAAATTTTTGCGATGAATTAAAATACTGGCTCAGTTAAGGGGGAGGAGGCGGAAAGGGATCATAGGAACTAGCGTCCAACATAAGATTTTTAAAGTGTCTGCTGTCTGCTTACCGGGCTCAATTTTGCGAATGATGACATGCTGGTAGATTCAGTGCAAGCCCCCACATTTAATGTGCAAAAATCCTCGCCTTTGCTCAATTCTATTGCTTCTAAAAACCTTATCGTTCTAATGGTGACAAAAAGTTTCGATTAGCACATTGTTCAATCTAATGTACAGTCTAAAAGCCGATGAGATTTTCAATGAGCTTTTAAAGACCATCACTGTGGCAGTCTCGCTATAAAAGCTCCATTTTATGTACGTATTTTGAAATGCAGCTGTTTTACCTCTTGTTCGCGCTTCCAATTGCGCTGGTGCTTGTGCAAGCAACAACAGGGCAAGAGCAAAATGTCTCAGCAGTAGGAGAAGAACAAAATGTTACAGCAATAGGAGAAGAAGATGATGTGTAAGTTCGAATGGAGCCGAATATGATAGCTTATAAACTTTTCTTATTCTGATGTTCTGTTTTCAGCGTTCAGCAGGGTCTTCTTGGAAACCTTTTTGGGAAACTTATTTCGATAATGGGTAAAAACCTTGGAAAATTCGCTGGACACATGGCTCTAAGTGAGTGTTTCGATGGTTGTGAAAGTAGTGTAATCTTTTTCAATTTAACAGAAACACCATTGATGGCAGTCAAGCTTGGAGTGAAAGGTGGGATGCTAGGTGGAAACGAGGACAACAACCATACTGCGCAAGCGTGATATCATTCTTTGCTAGAACAGAAGAAGTAAATTATCATAAAGATACGCAGAACGCAAAATTGTAGATGTCGCATAGGATATTACGTGCAAGACAGTGCTGATGTGCACAGTAGTATGTGCTGTGACCGCCAAATGTTGCGAATGAATTGCCTTCCTTTTTTCATCGCTCATTTTCGGAAGGAAAACAAAGATTAAGAAATGACTGGTTTGCATGTGGTGAGCTCTTCAAGAGCTACAACCACACATTGCGCTTTCTGGAAAATATGTATTATACGAACTTTAAAAATCTTTTTGTAAAAAAAAAGTCCAAAAATGGCCCCGTCACAATGTTGCGGACAATAATCCTTCGAACACGAAAATTTTCCTTTAGGTCTTTGTTTTTGCAGAAACAGAGGTTCGGACAGATAAGCATGCGACATCATAGAGCTCATCGAGGACAATAATCAGGTAGTGGTTGATTTCAAAAAAACCCCAAGCTTGAATTTTATGTTGCTTTTTCTCGAAAAATGACTTCTAATTACCTTTTTCAAGCCAAATTTCTTTACACGAAAACCTATTCAAGACATCCTAACAGGGTTGTTCAAATGAAATGGATGCTCTTTGCCATACTTTATGCATCTGACGTGTGCTGGTGAGTTTCTTGGCTGAAAATGGCTCTTGACAGTGCGTGCACATGACCCCATCTGCATCTCACCACTGACTTGCACCGCTTTGCAGGCTTGTAGCTCGTCCAGCAGTCACTCTACGAGACTGCAAGTAGGCTCAACCGAAAGAGCGTGACTTCCCCGACACGATGGTATGCAAACTAGTTGAGTGTGGGAAGTCTCGGAGATTTCACGGATGGGGTGAAAAAGCGCAGCCTTAGAGGCGAATGGAGTGAAGGCTCTTGTCAGTACCAAAACTAGAGCTCCGAAATGGGTCTATTACAAAAAAAATTAACAGTTTTGAACTTCCAGGATGGAACTGGTAGCGAATGGAGCTCTGTTCAACCTTAGCTGTAAAATCTTTAGCCTACCACTGGAGCTGCGTTTTTTCACCACATCCGTAGAATATCCGGAATTTCTCAAACTCAACTCATTAGCATACCTTCGTGTCGTGGAAGTCACACCTTTTCGAATGAGTCTACCTGCACTCTCGTAGAGCGACTGCTGGCCGAGCTACAAGCCTGCAAAGCGGTGCAAGTCAGTGATGAGGGGCAGATGGGGTCATGTGCACGCACTGTCAAGAGCCGTTTTTAGCAAAATAACTCACCAGTCGCGTCCGATGCATAGAGAACGGCAAAGAACATCCATTTTATTCGAACAGCTTTGTTAGGATGTTTTGAATAGGTTTCCATGCGAAGAAATTTTGCTTGAAAAGGGAAGTTATTTTTTGAGAAAAAGGCAAAATAAAATTCAAGCATGGGTTTTTTGGAAGTAACCACTACTTGATTACTGTCCTCCATAATGTCTCTAGATCTAGAATCGCAAGATGAAATTGCTTGATTTCTTAGGCCTTAGGCAGAGTAATGTTGTATTTATAAATATCTATCATAAATCATCCTGCAGTTGAAAAGGGGAGAAAATTTTCTATTGGAGATTTTAACCCTCCGTAGTAGCGAAATTCATTCTTAAAAAATAATCATAGCTCCATTTATTTCATCGTTCACAGATATGGAAGACAAATTTTAAACCAGCATTCAAAGGCACATTTTTTGATATACAATTGATTAGAGTGGCTACAGTCACCACGCATCCTTCCCCTAAGGGGCTTGAGGCTTTGTGACGTTTTAGGGCCGCATGCACTAACCTCCCCGTTGGGGAGGGGATCGCAGCTCAAAAGGAAGCTTTATATTTCGAAACTCCAAATACCTGGATTTCCCGTTGTGTACCTATCCGTAAGTATTCCTACTACCCTTCACTATGAACATGTTGAACAGGAGCGAGAAGCTGTACGAACCGCATTTTCCAGCTTTTGTATGATCCCTGATTTTCCCCGGTGCTTTTCTTTGAAGTCATTTTTCTTTCTCCGAAGTTAACGAAAACCTTCCAAAGTTGTACTGAACATACACAACAGTGTTAAGCATGTTGCTGATGAGAACAAATGAGTTTTTGAAAAGTCGAATTTTTCGGTAAACCTCAAATTTCGACCTGTGGATCATCGAAAATTTCATGACTTCAAAACATCATTTGTTCTTATCAGCAACATGCTTAGCACTGTCGGGTTAGAGAATCTGCACAACTTTGGAGGTTTTTCGTTGACTTCGGAGAAAGAAAAATGACTTTAAAGAAAAGCGCCGGGATCATCAGGGATCATACTAAAGCTGAAAAATGCGGTTCGTACAGCTTCTCGCTCCTCTTCAACATGTTCATAGTGAAGGGTAGTAGGAATACTTACGGATAGGTACACAACGTGAAATCGAGGTATCTGGAGTTCCGAAATATAAAGCTTTCTTTCAAGCTGCGATTTCCTCCCCGCGGGGATGTTAGTGCATGCGGCCCTTAGTGTGCAGCCCTGTAAGTCCTTTATGTTCTGCCAACCTTATACGTAGCTATGGATCACGAGATGGAAGGATAGGCGGACGAGCTTTACCTGCTCATTATTCGTTTTTTTTTTGCTTTTTTGTAATAAATCATTATATAGTATCATTTTTACGACATGTGTGCTGCAGCCACCTAACATGCAATCGGTGCTAATCGGGATCAAAACTAAACATTGGCTCAAGGCAGCGGTAGGAGAGAACTATGCAAAACTATGTCGAAATCGAAACCGAAGAGACAACGAAGAGGTTCTATCAAGCGCGTTCAGAGGCTGGCCAAAACTACAGGCTCACCCAAAAAAAATTCCATCAGAGTAGTTCTTGGTCTCCAAAAGTATAATATTATATATGAATACTTAAGTCAAAGTGTTACACAGTTGCTTTAGTTCCTGTGTCTTACCGGTGGACGGAGAATCGGCGCGGCGAGGTACCCCACTTGAGCAGATTTGCACAAGTGATTTTTTTCTATTGTAAATAATTAAATTAATTTTTGAATTCTCAAATATTTAAATCACCCCTGTAAAACAATTTTCGGGAGCGTATCGCCCCTATGCCCTTTATATTGAAGCTTTGGAGTTAAGTGTTCGCAAAAATTCCGATGTCTTGGGAAAATTATCGGAAAAGCGTGGGACTCCACGTCCCTTCATTTGAAAGGAACTTACGTCGCATCCCCCTCTCCCAAAAAAAAATTCTCAGACCTTCTTTACTATACCGCTCCTGTGCCTGCATTTGAGTAAGAAGTTCTGCTTCTTGGCTGTCCTTCTGAATGCTCAGTAACGGACGACTGAGAAGAATAAGTTTGAGCTTTCGTTGTAGCCGACGTGTAGCAAACCGCAGGCTGTGCTCAAATTTCTGTATTCAAACTTCTTCTGCGCTCTTGCCCAAATTTACGTAGACATCCTCCAAAGTAATCTGTGAGTAAGCTCAGGGATAATAACGAAGTTTTTGTTTCGTTTCTAAAACATAAGCTACGCAGCCTAGTGATGATATTACGCAGCTTGAGCTTACCATGTCCGTTCTTAAATTTTTTGCCAATTTATTTGCTAAATAGTGAAAGCAGGTAATTTTACATGATTTTCTTGATGATTTCCATAGCCGGATCTGACTTTGAGGCTTGTTGACTGCAAGATGATTTAGGCAATCTGCTACGTACCGGGCTCTGTAAAAATGTGGTAATCGGACTCTCGTCCATACTAACAATGCCTTTACTCCGCCATTGCAAAAAGAGTTGGCAGAACTTAGGCCTGCGTTTAGGTCGATGGCGGACTTGTTCGAGAGCGAAAACTAAGATCTTCTCTAATGCTCACACGTCACTAAGCATTTATAGTAGATGACATCCCGTCACTTCCAAGCTAGCTGCACAGTTTAAAAGCAAGTGTCACCCTGGCTACGTATTTGCTTCAAAGACAAGCGAAAATGAGAAGTGCTCTGCTGAATGGAAACTCTGAGAGGACCTACAACTTTGCCTACCCTTCATCCTATATTTTTCGTAATCTTGGATCTTTCCTAGACAAATAAGCAAGCCGAGACCCGTTCTGATTAGTGGTGGTAAGCTGGTATATACGGCGTATCAAATTCTAGAAAATCACTGACCACCATTGAGTTGCTACAAAATTTTGAAGCGGACCTATGATGTTGGCCAACACTGTAGAAATCACTGAAAAGTTTTTACCGCAAACTGCAGCAATAGCATGAAATGATGGTATCTCCTTTCATCCTCATATACATGATATTAGGTTGTTATATAAGTTTCGCGTTACACAAAATTTCAACCGCCTTGAGTCATTCATTTATTGCGCATTCAGGTTTAGGCGTACCAGCCGAACAAAGATAGCTCTGCAGGGTAATTTGCAAAAGTTCTCACCATGATCCACTCCAACTTTGAAGTCAAAATCTATTGAGTCTAAAGTCTAGTCTAAAATTATATCTTCATTCGAAATGGTCTTACGAAGCTCTCACTCGTTTGAGCAACATTGTACATCTTACATTCATATATGCAGTTCTTATACTCTTTGATTCAACTGGATTGGCGGCTGGAAGGAGGGGCTTCGTGACCTAATTAAGGCTGGACAATGATCAGAGAGCACGAGCGCGAGAGAGACGCCGACTGCGTTGCGGACCTGAGCGGCCTAAACTAGGTCACAAAGCCCCGCCTTCCAGCCGCCAGTCTAGTTGAATCAAAGGTTAATTACTACTCCTTGGCGACAAATCGAAAATAATTATATACCTTGACGACAAATCGAAAAAAGTACCATGCTTTTGACCAAGCAATGCTGCGTTTTTCACACATAAATAGTTGTATACTGCGAACCTTGAGCAAAATTGTAAATCCTTAGCTCTGCACAAGCTCTGGTTTCCGAAAAATAAGGTTTTTAGCATGAAGCATTCTGTAATCGAAGCCAAATCCGATACTCCTCGAAGGCTAACGCTTGTAGAAAGCTAAAAATTCACGGTACTTGTAAGGGTTTGTAATGTACAGTTATCTACGTGAAAACAGCACAGCACACTGGCAGAAAAAC